AAAAAAAAAAAAACTGTCTAGAATATTATTTTCTACTGCTAATAAGCCTTGGTTGAAGTGGTGAAAAGAACTTGCATAACAAAAGTTAAATCATTTGAAAAAACTAAAGTACGTAGTAATTAGAACAGAAATATTGTGGATGGGCATGGTGGCTCACGCCCCTGTAATCCCAGCACTTTGGGAGGCTGAGGCGGGTGGATCGTTTGAGCTCAGGAGTTCGAGACCAGTATGGCCAATATGGCAAAACCCTGTTTCTACTAAACATACAAAAATTAGCTGGGCGTTATGGCGGGCACCCGAGTAATCCCAGGTACTCGGGAGGCTGAGGCACAAGAATCGCTTGAACTTGGGAGGTGGAGGCTGCAGTAAGCCAAGATCACACCACTGCACTCCAGCCTGGGCAACAGAGAGAGACTCAGTCTCAAAACAAAACAACAACAACAAAAAAACCCAGAAATATTTTGATTATTGTTACGAAAAATTTGGGATACAGTTCTTCCAAAATAAACTTGAAAAGGCAACTGCACTTGGAAATTATACTTCATAAAAATTTAAAACTTCTGCTCATCCAAGGGCACTGGAAAGAAAATGAAATGACAAATACCAACTAGATTAAAATAACTGCAAAACATGTACCTGGAAAAGGCCTGGCACCCAGCATATACATATATAAAGAACTCCTTTGAAGTACATTAAAAAAAAAGAGTTGATGGAGAGATAAGAAGTAGATAGATGAATATATATGTGATAAAGCCAGAAGAATAAAATGCGAATGGTAGAATCTAGGTAGTAGGCATATGGGTATTCACTGAAAAACTCATCTTTGCTGTATGTTTGAAAATTTTCATAATAAAATGTTGAAAAAATTTCATCTCACTACACCTAAGAGTTAGTAAATTTAGGAAAATATTAAGTCATTGAACTTCGTGAGAGTATGAGATTAACTTTTGCACATTGAGGAATAAATTATTTAAACATAATACTTTAGAATCTCAGGGAACATGTAATACATTACTGACTTTAAGTCTTTAATGCATTAGAAAAATCAGTTAATCAAACCTCTTTGCAAATACTTTAAATTCCCTAGAAAAAGAACACGAACCATTGAGATATCTGCCTAATGCAGTCACCAAGGAAGAGCTCCAGATGTACTGGCTGCCCCAGTGGGGCTGCTGTATAAACAAACAGGCCTGTCTCTTATACACATCTAAATGCAGTCACCAAGGAAGAGCTCCAGATGTACTGGCTGCCCCAGTGGGGCTGCTGTATAAACAAACAGGCTTGGAAAGAACTAGCCTCAGAACTCAGTGCGGTCACTGAACTGGACAGAGCAAATGATCTCAAGTAAATCTCAGTTCTTAGACTCCCCGGCATTAAGCAGAGATAATGAAGAAGGGATGAAGACAATATAAAAAGAACTATGTGTAGGATACCATGGAAGACATAAAATCCTAGACAATATTGTTCTTTTTCTTTCTTTTTTTATAATACTTCAAGTTCTAGGGTACATATGCACAACATGCGGGTTTGTTACATATGTATGTATGTGCCATGTTGGTGTGCTGCACC